GAGCAAGCAGGTTACCAACGCCACAGCAATCATAACAATAACAGGGGATGGGGGGATACAGAACAGAGTGAAATAGAGGCTAAACAATTACAATGGATAACAGTAAATAATCAGAATAATAGTGATTTTGTGTTAGTTTATCGTTTCTTTTACGGGGCATGGGATTTCAACAAGCAGGCCGCAAAACCTTCACACTACCGACTTCTACTCTGGACCACATCTCTTCACGTCTCTAGTCGTCGGCAATCCTCATCCCTTGAGTCACAAAATGGAAGAAAGGTTGCACTAAAGGAAGTCAAAGCTGTAGCTAGCTTCTTCATAACACTACACCAAATCATTGTCTGACCACCGCGATGTCTGGGCGAGTGCTTCTTTTAGGGAACGACTATTCACATCGAACACTCGACGACGATCCTCATCATTGTTCATCCCATATTCCCACCTGGTATTGACAATGCTTGGGAGACATCGGTAGTCGACTACAGAAAGTTGATTAGTATCCTCAACGCAGAGGGGCCAGGTCTCGCAACCGTAAAGTAGAACACTACGAACCGCGGCGATGTACACCCTTCCCTTGAGGGATAGTCGCAGGTTGGCGAAAGCTGCCCTAGCTTCCGCTTTACATAATGTGATCTCCTCCCGAATGCCACCACTAACTGCGGTCCAGCTCCAGAGGTAGCACAGATGGTGAGTACAGACACAGACTCCTGCCAGTCCTGAACAAGCACTTTGCAGTTGGATAATGCGAGGCGCATACCAGACCTCGACCGCCAAGTGGTTTTCAGCGTGTTAGATCGCTTCTATGTTGTCACTAAACGAGGCGGTTTCGTTTAAAATCATACGTGGAAAGACGGACTGGTTTCATTTCTTCGACAAGCCATTTGGCAACTGAGTGGTATGGTGAGGCACGCATTTCAGGTGTCGGTCTGAACGGCATATCAGACATTTACACTTTTGACAAACCATGTCAACACAAATAAAAAGTTTACGTAAGTAGTTTCATGAGTACTAGTAATATTTATGATCATTTTCGAATTGCCACGTAATGTTTTAATTTCATCTTGATAATGTGATAGTTTTTATAAGCCCTCGTAAAATTCCATTCATGCTGATAGTGTGTAATCACTACGTTCCACGATCTCTACTTCCTAATCCAACGATAGTAGTTCCATTCCGTTTTTGGTTCCTTACTGTCCTTCCGTGTCTATCATTCAACAGACTTCTCAGCGCGACGTGTTTGGTACTAGTCGTGGGTTATCAGCCGAATGTTCTTTTTAATGATTTTTTCCGGTTGTGGTCTGTTTAATCAATGAACAGTGTTCCCCTTGCCGCATATTCATGATTCACAGAATCCGAGCGAAGCAGTTCCGGATGCCCAGAGTGTTCCCAACGGTGCTCCACCCGATCCTGCACTCCACGTGCACGAACACGGCTACTGTATTGGTGGCTCACATTCCGTGTCCAGCAATGGTCCTACACAACAAGAGGCTTTCGTGTGGGAAACACGTATTCACGCAGTTCGGTAAGTAGCTGCTTGTCACACGACTTTCACCTGCGACTGTTTGTACATTTCCAATGTCTCATGTTGAGGGTTTCAAAAACTTTTGAAATTATAAAAGTTAGAGAGTGATGGGATGATAGTTGTTTGGTTTGGAATGGGCGCCATTTTTGGATAGGAGAACTATTTGCATTTTTCCGTGGATTGTGAAAGGAGATTGGAGATCAAGCGAAGGATAGAAAAAGCGGCGTAGAATAGGAGCTACCTCCGGAACTCGCGCTTTTCGGAGGATGGGTGGAATACCGTCCATACTAGGTGGTTTACAAACCTCCAAACCGCGAACAGTTTGGCGAACCTTTTTGGTTGTTACGACAACTGGTAAGGGCTGGCTGGATATATCTTAGGAGAGTCGATAGATAAGGTGGAGTTGGAGTTGCAATCGAACCCGAAAGTGAAGACCCCTGTTTTTTCGTGGAGTTCACGAACAAGAGGACCAAAGGAATTTCAAATGAGAGGAAAGTTGTAAAGATAGCGAGGGACCAGAATGTTCGGTTACCGTTAGCGGACGCGACCAAACGCTCCACCCTTTTGGCGCATGAAGCTTCCTCTGGCTGGCTGTATGTTTAGCTAGCTTTTTTCTATCTTGCACCAATTGGATGCTATATTTTTTGTTCGGTAAATGGCTCGAACGACAGAATGTCGAGTTTTTGAAACGTACAACACGGTTGTAAGCATGATCAAACACCAATCTGGGGGTCTTGGTTTGCCAAGTTTGAGAAAGTGTGGAACATAAAGATGCATACATTGGATAACAATCTAAGTGAAGCTTGAAACCGAAGTAGAAACATCAGACTTGAAGCAACAAGCATTCCAGGGGTAACAGGTTAGAAAGTCACGTGAACCGCCCCTGTTGGCTGAGTCCTAACACCTCATGGGGCATCTGGAGTTAGGTGGTAGAACAGGGTGAGGGAACTGAGGAGAGGGTCAGATGCGCTGAGAAGGTAAAGGGAAGTGATGTTGGAGAAAGAAGAGGAAATGGGTGTGAGGGGCAATCACCAATATAAACGGGTATGCGCGTGGGAATGTCAGGTTGTTGATTGCAATAAAAGCCTTGTCTTCGTATCTCACAATCGAAATGTCTGAGGACTGTATCAGCCATTCCTTGTTGTGGGTATTGAACTCTCTAACATTGATAATTTGGCTGTTAGGATCTGTCGCCATTATTATATCAATGTTGGAAGATTGAATACCAAAGCTTGAAGGATCATTGCTGCTCTCTGAGCGATAAACGGTGCAAAAATAGTTGTTGACAGGAGGAGAATTAGGTTTCAGTCACGTAAGTCGGGGACGCTGAGGTACCAGTTTCAAACTGTGCCACCAGTTCGCAATTTTGGTGAAGGCGGAGCATTACTATCATGTTGCTCAAAAGCTTACCCACCGCATTGGGACAGTCTACATCCTCTCTAAGTGCGATACCATAGACTGGTGATAGCTGAACACAACGCCAAGGTAGTTAGTTATGTCTTCCGCTATTCATCACACAAAAGCGTGCAGTTAAAAAAAAATACACGGTTCCGAATAAGCATTTTTTGAACAACCGAAGTAAGTATTCATGCTTGTTTTTATGCACTTTTATAGACTAGGAAGCCTCGATAGAATAACACCTAAGCGTTTAAAATCTAAAGTACATATCATTTGAATCTACCTCGATAGACCTGACCTCATCACCCATGCTTCTTACCCACTTCTGCTTTTCTCCTGCAGTGTTTTGGCTCGTCTTTTCGCCCGAGTCTGTCAGTGTACGCAAATTGGAATGCCCAGCGGGAAAGTCACGATTTCGGACAAGCCTGTGGACTCGGGTCCGGTGTCGTCCGCGGTATATCTGCTCCCGTTCTTTCTGGACCAGCTCATGTGCTGTTTACACCTCCACGAGCGACTAGCAATGCAACGATTTATTGGCGGTCTAGTTCTGTCATCTTGGGCTCTGCTACCCAGCAACTCTAAGATCGACAGCACCTGGGCCTCTGTCCTAGCGGACACGTCACCGAATGTATCCGATTCTCAAAGTGTGGTCAGTTTGCCTGCAAAGCTCCGGGCCCGTTTGGAATCATGTTTGACTGAAGTGATCTATTACGAAGAGATTTTGGGTACGTTTCCCACCCGGAGCACCGTCATCTCCTTTTCTCGTTAAATCCCCGGTCACCCAATGCTGGTTGAAGCTAGTTTAACTTGGACTCAGCAGGCATTTCTCCCGCTCATCAGTTTCCGGGTGAATTTTGTCTGATCTTTGTATTCAACTTCTATCCCCAATCGATACTCTGACCGATTATAGTTCTTACCATTGTATATCGTTCATTCACAACATGCTTATGGTTATCCGTTGCAAAGGGACAGATAGATTTATTTCGTTTTTCGTCTCCTGCGTGTCGCTATTTGCCTGATAAGGACATTCACTTAGTTTCCGGTGCCCTTTTCAGAGTTGTTTACATATTCTTGACAATTTGGTCTCATCAGGCGCGCGCACGCGCGCACACACACCTGCCTCAAACTAGTCCATAATTGTATTTAGTCTTCCCATCTCTGACACTGAATCGTTTATGTGCCGTTCATCTGCTTACAGTATTCGTGTTTTTTTTTCACTATCACCGAGTCACACTTGATCACTGTCATACTGTTCGACCTGATCTGTCTAATGTGTAACGCCTTTCCGACGGCCCAATGTACCTATCCAATCGATCCGAAATCCGGGATCATTTGTGAACATGTTACCAATTGGGGTAGACCGCCATCGTAGAACAGTTAACTTGATTAAATTTTTTACTTTAGTCCTCTCGTAGGCATGAACTAGATATTCATTGAGTAGTTGTGCCATTATTCATATCTGTGTGTGTTCTTACCTCCTTTGGAACTGTGCTGTTTGCAAACCCAATAGTGATGATGCCTCAATTTGTTTGTGGCATCCAAACAAGGTTAAACACAAGATTGTGCCCAAATCATTTGGACATTAGTTTCCGCATTGCATGGGTAATTGGTTTTCTCGTCCTATAAGGTAGTCCTCTCGCATGACTTCCCATTCGAAACGAACCTCCACACACACAATATGGTTTCTCATCGGCATACGTGAAGGTCCCAACGGACCAAGGAAAGGTTCGCGCCATTGACCAAGCAGCTCCTGAAGCGGGGAATGTAAATTGACTCTTATGTGCTAAACGCGCGCGCACACACACAGAGTACGGATGCGCTATTCCCGGGAGACTAGTATTTAGGCGAGTTAGGCTGTTACCTTCCACGAAAAGGGTGGCGGGGTAGCTCCGGAGTTGAATGCACGTGCAGCGTTTGCAGATTTTAACCAGCACTGAACTGAACTACAATAATTGCTTTTTTGTTCACACAGTTGCACTACGCTACTTGTGAAGTTTTACTCAACAAATTTCCCCGAATAGCTGATGTACTGTGCACAAGCACTTGTCGCATATTATGGTTATTAACTTCGCAATGCTCGTGTGCACAATGTTTACGCCCTATATAACCAACTTTTCGAATAAGTCCGTTCGTATTGGGACATCTGAAAACTGCAGTCCTTCTGGCACTGAATCTCTACTCGGTTAATCATCGATACTGGACTAGGATTTAGTGATTGCCCCATCAGGAAACGGTCATTGCGAACAAATTGGTCATATTATTTTCTGCAAACGTATGCAAACTAGAATTTCTCGTCGACGCGCACCTCCGATCACGTGACAGCATTTCTGCTCCGTGAGACACCACACACACACGCACGTACCGGTCAGGTGATCATGGATTGTTCATTCATCCCTTCTCCCAGTTGGGGATATCGAGTTATCTCCACTCATTCTCCACCTATCCGTATGTTAATCCAGGCAACTGTCCCTTTCCGTGTCTTTCACAGGTGTGTTCAAATTGATGCAAGAAGACTGTCGTGAATTGATTTGTACGCTCCAATCGTTGGGCATCGGCGAGGATCCAATTTTCACATTCAGGTATGTTGCATCTGCCTCCCCCCCCCCTCGGTTAAACCGTTTGCCCCCTCCCCGACTGCTAATCTATTTGTTAAGTGCGGCGAGGAGGGGGTTAACACTTCCGTCAGTATGGTCGTCAACTACTTTTTTCTCAAAATGAAATGGACCCGTTTTCTTGTTTACCACATTTAATTATGAGGTTTTCCGTTCCATTCGTCGTATTCACCATCAAATGCATACGCTGTGTTGAAGGTGTTTCTAACTGTGCTCTGTTCCTCGCTCGTCATCAATCTTAT